TACAGGCAGCATCTCGCTCTCTGTTTAAACTGCATTTGAACAATCAAGGGCTATTTAAAGTGCTTTATGATGGCTTCTCCATGGATACCTAATATTTCTTTTCAGTACGATACGATCATTAGAGTAGGTTTTCACAAAACTGTTTTTACAGAAGGACAGATGGCTTAGGCAAACAGTGGCACAAGTAAAAGGATGTATCATAAAAGCTATCCAAGAGAGGGCAGTTTGAGCTGCTCTCACCACATTTATCATAAACAGTAAAACTATTTTGGCAGTTGTTCCTGTAAATTCTCCTCACACCCAGCAGTCACATGCAAAATTCTATGATGCATCCCCATTTTCACTCGGATCATAAACAATGAAAAGCAAAATTGAAAAAAATTACTACATCACTTCATACGCAGGAAATCTGTGGAACTAATTGGTGTGAGCAGACTGGCATATGAGCCCTAGTGTATTAAGTCACTTAAGAAGCCATCTATGTAAACAGCTACGATGACCCCACCAGAACCATCTGCAACCTTAAGGTTATACGGGTGCTTTTCTAGATTTTGGCACTTAGCACTGAAAAACTTCACAGATAAAATTTAGTCCTAGACATTATTATGCGGCTGCACAAGAGTAACAATTTTTTCTTGAAACCAAAATTTCTAGCAAAAGCATTATTTTGACAATGAGGAAAAAGATAAAGGAAGATCCACATGACTTCGTCTCTCTTTCACCATAATTAACTATATAGCAGTCTTTCAATTCTCAGTTTTGAATTTCCAATCTGATTCAGAAGTAACTCTTTGGTTGTGCAGTTCACTGTCCTTCTAGCAAGACGGTTTGATTCCCGCTTTCTGACAGAGTGTACAAATGGGCCAGTCCTGTTCTCCCTGATCACAAACTTAAATCTACTCATCTTCAGAGCACACAGAACTCCACTGAATATAGAAATGCACAAGGAAGTGTTCCAAGAAATTGAATTATAAGAAGTAATAACTGTTGCACAATTGAGATGTGACAAAAGGAAAGACAAATCTTTTTTACTGTGACCGTGTTGTGTATCTAACAAAATGTGAATTAATTATGACCCACATTCTGCTAATCCTACACACAATGAACTGTCCTTTATTCTGGGAATCATCCTGCCTGCTGTCAGTCTTTTTCCTTACCTTGTACAGACCAGTGTCCTACTCCAGAAGTAGACATGCATTCCATAGAGATACTATTGATTCTGAGCACATGCGCTTCAAGGATGAAGTGTCAGCCTCAAGAAAATCAATAAATGTTTTGCAAGTGATATCAATGGGGTCAGAACTTCACTCATAGCATCAGTTCATATAACAAAATATGCACAACTTTAATACAGTTACAAACTAGATTGCATTTTAAATTTATGATTAAGCAGGCTGTATTTTAAGATCAAATGGCAGGTGCCTGAAAAATGTGTGGTGAAATATGGACATATTTGCAGACAAAATTGAAAAGACCAAGATGTCCACATGCTATACAAGCTCTGGCAGAAACACCAGAAATTAAATTGAACATGTTAACTTACCGGTAGAAAGTTTTCACTATTTCTTTTGCTTCAGTTTGTACCTATAGGGCTGCTTGACATTCCATTGTTTTCAGCACAATTTGTCCTTTGCTTTTCATTAGTATAGTTGAATTAGATAAAACATATTTGTTGGAGGATGTTTTCCTAATTCTTAATTTGAGGGGAACAGCAGCAATGCTTTTGGCAGTCAAGTCTTTACTTCTGTTGTAGCACACCTAATGTTCTCAAAAGCCAAATCTTGCAGACATCTGCTCTTTCCTGATCTCTCTTTAGCATTGCCATTGGGCACAATAAAACTTTAAGTCTTTTATTGTGTGGCTCTTACTGGTTAAGTGCCCTTTTCTCTTACAGGCAAGACTTGGAGCAAGAATCCTGACAAACGGAGATGCAGAACTAAAGCTTCTCTTCCTTTAATTTCTCCTTTGCTTGAAAACCCAGACTTTCTGGTGCTGTCTTAGCTCAAATTAATCTAACAATTTGGTTCATTAATAATCTACTTGGCCTGGCTGTAGGCTAACAATTTAGTTGATAACCTAGCTAGTTGATAAACTAGTTAGTTAATAATCTAGTTGAGGCACATCCTTGGCTTCTGGATTCAGTTTCCTTTGCCGTCAGAACTGATTGCATTTTGCATGGTGCTTTTGCTGTGCTCCCCTATCACAGCAGTCACAGGAAACAGCACTGGGATCTGCACAAGAGTTTTATACTTTTTCTCACTGTTTTTCTGCCGCAGGGTTGAAGATGTGTTTTTCTAGGGATCTGTTGTGAACTGGCCTGGCATGACTGGAAGCAAACTACGCTAAAGGCAGGCACTTGAGCTCTAGCCCCTCTGATGCTTCTGCTTGCTGGACACCCACCCAACCCCCTCTATTTTTTTAGAGAAAGCCTTTCCCTGTGGTGCCTGGGGCAGGGAGCCAGGCTAGGGTCCCTGCTGCCATGCTGGGTTCAGCAAAGGTGCTTCATTCTTCCTCTCTCCCAGGAAAGTGGCAGTGGGGAATGGGGACTGGGGCTGCATCCCATGGAGCCACAGCCGCCAGCCCTGACACTGCTCTGTCACCCTTAGGGAGGACAAGGAGAAAGAGGAGAAGGAGACAGAGGAGGTGGTGAAGTTGCTGAGAGCAACAAGGGAGAGGAGGGAGGAAGGGGGATGATCACTAGAGATTTTCTTTGCTTTTTAATTATGCTCTGCTCTCTCATCAAAGCTGGAGTCACACTCCTAAACCTTGTTTTGTGCACCTTTCCCCACCTCCAGATGTTGGGTCAGCATCCAGCTAATGTTAAAGAAACTGTAAATACAGTCAGTGGTTGCTCAAGTTCCCTTTAGCTTCCTCAGGGGACTGCCGCATCCATTGGAGCAAAAACATTGAGCAGGACCGCGCTGGCTTCCTGCCCCGTGAACACGGGGGCGTTACCCTCCATGCCAAAACGCGCTGTAGCAGACTATGGCACAGAATCCTGCGTTGAGTTATGTGACACCACATGGCCCGTAAGCAAACAGAGCAAGTCCACTCTTCCCATGCGCTTGTGAACAATGGCCCCAGGAGACAGCCAGAATAGGACTGAAGGACAATGCAAGCTGTTGCGACGCCAGACTTGTAAATTAATCTCCCCTCTCCAAATCCAGCCAGTGTACCCAGGTGCTCCAAGGTACTACCTGGGAAGAGGAGGCTTTAGGAGCTTCCACAGTTCCCCGCTCTTAGCAGAGAACAAAAGCTAAGACTCGTTTTGAAACAATACACAGATACTGTCATTTATTAGGTATAGTAAGCACAACGAAAAGATTTATGATAATTTTTTTTTCCTGAACAGATAATATTACACAAAGAATTGCAAGCCATTTTATACAAACTGTTTTCTCAACTCTACTTCATTTTCATTTCCTTCTTCTTAATATATTTGCAAGTTCTTGTCTAAGTATTCCCTGTTGCATATACTCTCCCCATTGGTCTGGTACATCTCTCATGTTTATTGATCAAAGTTAGAAGACACTCCATAAGAGTGAATGGAGTTAACTGCTGCAAAAAAACAGGTTAAGTCCCGTGCCTTTATTAATTTTAGCTACTCAGAGATTTTACTAAAAGATTTTTCTACCTCTCATGCCTTGCAGTAAAGAACATCTGGCAGGGCACTTTTCATAAAGTACATATAGTTACAAAATTGCAGATGTGTTACAAGAAAATAATCCTCTGTAGCTAAGGTTTTCAATGAGACTTCTTTTTCTGCATAGCGAAATTATCCATTTTCTCACTTAAGAGAAGAAATGGAACATTATGAAGTTAGGATTAATAAGGCAGAAACCAGCAGAGTCTTGAGTATACTCCATTGCTTGCAATATATCGAGGCTTGCAGCACTGTGGAGTATATAAGACAGTGAAAGGTGTTTTATGATGTGATTTTCTCTATGAGAGCCTTAGTATGAGATGGTAAGGGGTGTTTATGCATTTTACAGTTACGTACAACAGTATCCACTTTCCACTTTAAAAATACTTATGAACAGCAAACCAGTGAAAAAGGGGCCCTTTAACAAATGTTTGATACCTACACTCACCCTGCTCCAGCTCAGCTCCTGGTGTGTAAGGGAGTCTCACCTCTGCCTAAGTCCTTCCTGACCCTTCCAGGCCAGATAAAAGAGCTGGGCCAGTATAAAAGGGCTTTTTAAAGCCATAGATTTTGATACAGTGGATAAAAGAGGCAGATACCCATGAAGAAAGCCATGCCAGGAGCCTCTTCAAACCAGGCTGTAGGTTGCAGGGGTGGCTTGAAATCCCCTGTGCCTCTGCTGGCTCTGTGCTGCCCCAGCAATGGCATGCCAGGCTTTTTAAGGGTTTACTGATGGTCCTTGCTTGCTCTTACAAATACTTAGAAATAAACACTTACATTCCAGACAGATGGGTAAAAGTCAAGATGCTGGCTTTCTCTCATCCTTTTCTTACCCTGTCCCTATGGCTTAAGTGAATGAATGAAAAATGGAAGCAAAGCTATGAAGTGCTGGCTGACTAATTTACTACTTTGGCAGTCAGTGGATAAAGGTATTTGGGTTCTTGAAAAATGTGCAAAATCTTCAGGTTAAAGATGATGAACGGGATGTTTTGTGAGCTGCTTCCCTTCAGGAAGATGATATATGTTGTTTTGTTTATTGGCAGTTTAAAAAGCTTTTCTGAATTTAATTAGAAATATGAATGCATTTAAGATGCAATGGAATCCACATACACCCCTCTCATAGGAATGAATGAGGAAACACAAGGTTTTTTAATGTTTAGACTTTATCTAACCAACCCACATCAGACATGTAAGTCCAAAACAGAGTAGATAACTTTATTGCAGAATGCCAGTACCATTTTTCTACATGCATTTGAAAAGTTTCCAGCCTTTTCTACTGACATCCGGTGGCGATATTCTGGAAAACAAAGCTGGTCTGTCAGATATTTCTGGAATACGAACACATTTTTCCTGGTGCTTATGGGGAAGAGTAAAAATATGTGGGCTTCACATTACCCAAGATCTGATCTTCATAGTTAGGAAGGCAGCAGAAGAAGAATCCCAAGCATATTTCCATAATGGCGGTGGTCCAGCCAAAGCCGTAGGCCCAGCTGAACATATTGACTCTTGTCATTTCAATTTCAGACGAGAACTTTACTGGATAAATGACCAGGCCCATGATGGAGAACACAGCTGAAGAAACAGGAGAAAACAAAAATGTTCAAGCTAACACCCATCACGTTGCCTGCCTCCCTAATACCTGTAGCTAAACCCACCCATGTTTTGGAGGATTTGAAAATCGATCCGCTGCCGTGACAGACTTCATATTAATTTTCATAAGTGCACACAGGCAAAGACTTGGGTATAGAGTCAGCTGAGGGGAATACCGGTTCTAATACGGATACACCTGCACAAGCTAAACTTGACTTCATATGCTGCCTTACCAGCGACAAAAAGCAAGCCTCCAATCCCGCGTATGAAGTTGAACCGTAGCGTGTCAATGGCAAATGCTATGATGGCCAAAGCAAAACAGATGACTAGAAGTAAAAAGCCGACCAGGTATGTGGCAGCAGCAGCTCTTCCCCAAGCTGAAATCAGAAGGAATATACATTAGACAGGAACAAAAAAAATCCCTTGCAGTGTTTTTCTCTGATTTATAATGAAAGGCTAATTTTAAGCAAATGTGAAAAGAAGATTGGTTCCCAAGAAGGAAAGCATGGGAACTTTCTCTCCTCTCATAGGTCTGTAAAGATGTAAGAATGGACACTTTCCTCCTTTAATAACAAATGTCGCTATCTCAGCAGATGCCATAAAACCAGCAGCATTTTGCATGGAGAAGGAGAATTAAACTGTCCCTGAAACTAATTAAATTCTTCCTTTAAAAAAAAAAAAAAGTGTTTATACAAGCACTACCACCCTGGCATGTGAATTTAAAGGTATGGTGATCGGCCATAAATGCCAAAATTCAGTGGTTTCTGCCTTTTCAGCCTTTGTTTAGCTCTGTGT